TAATTAAAAAAAGTGGGCGAGACGACTATGGTGTTTCGTCACATTGTCAGGTGGGCAAACCAAATGAAACAAAATATTAAAAACCCCAACGGCTGTCAGTTTTGTGTCCGGACTCTTGTCTAAAGTATATACAGGTACTCTAGGAGAGACTATAGTGCGATGTTTCTCCTAGTAGAAATTTCCACCATGGTAGAGACCAGTAATATGATTTTTTTTCACATGGAAACTATGTCATTTTTATAACAATAATCTTTATATGTATATTAAGACTTGTACTGTGGCTGAAGGACCTCGGTCGATGGCCATTTGAGTATTTATACTCAATAAAGTTAATTTTTTGTTTGTTTGTTAAAAAAAAAAAGAGTCGGAAGTCGGTCTAGAACTGGCGTTTCAACGGAGATCAAGATGTTATACAAGGTGTCATAGAATGAAGTATCATAAATTCTACATGGTGCACTGTGCACTAGAGACCAAATAAAGCCTATTGAAATCAACTGACCTTTATACGAAAATGCACCGTTGAGCCGTGAGAGGGTGATGAAGGACAATTTTATTTCTATATTTTCTTTAATATTTCGGAATCCTTGCAAGGTACTGATCTGAAATTCGTATGATGAATGTGCATGGAAAACATGTCATACCATTTCAATCAATATACAGAGAGTTGGATATTTCGCATTTTCTTCGATAAAAATTAATATGAATTTTTTTGGAGTACGGCACTGACGATATTTTGATATTGCGATGGATGACAAAAACAATCATGTAACTTTTTTCTAACTGCATTGTTTGTTAATTTTTCTTGTTTTTTCAGATTACTAACAAAATTTATTTTGGTGCTCCTCCATACTTGTTTATGACGATTATCATGTTTTGCAAGCTTTTGCCTCATTCGTGTTGAGTTATTAACCACAATACTCATGTTTATGAACTACTTCAGCATATGATAATGTTGTTGGTCATCTTCAAATTTATTTATTTTTTCTCGAATACGATTTTTTTACCAGTAATTACCGTTTTTTGTGATGCACCACTGGTAGATTTCAAAATACGAAATGAATTTTCTAGTTTTGTTCATAAACTTTTCTGTCTCTTCAAGATTTAGAATTTTGATCACCCTGTATCTGTTCCGATTAAATATCCGTAAATAGTAAATCAAAAGTTGAGATAGGGACATGTGAGGCCGATAATGAATAGTTTCGACAGGAACATATCCTAAAATTGAAAAATCTCGACTTTGAACACCCTATATCTCTGTAATCATTTCCGATAGACCCCAAGTTTGATGTATCGATGAAATCATCTCTTCAGGGAGAATTTAAAAATGCAATGAAATACAGGGTATTCTATTTGAAATAACAAAGTTGTTGCTACTTTTTGATAGAAGCGGCAACACTTCATTGCTGAAATTATATGAAATGAAGAGAGCGTATTCTAAAATACAAGCATGCATATTTTCATGGATTTCTCCCGACTGATTCTCGATATAGAGATAGTGTAAGCTTATCGTGACATACCCTGTATATATTAGTTCGATGAGATTTCGATAGATGACTTTGGCATCGTTTTATTACTGAAAAAAATCATCGAAATAAATTTTGCTCTTGAATGCTAGGCGATACATCAACTTTGAATTAAACATAACAGAAATTCGATGCGGAGATTATTATTAGGAGCATTATAAAGCTATTGAAATAAAATAGTTTTTTCTCCAAGCGGCAGGGATAGTGGCTTTTTCCTGCCGCTTAACAGGCAGAAAAGGTGTTCTTTTACTGCCTAGGCAGAAAAAGTTTGTTGCTATGCAACGTTCCAGGAAATTCTAATGAAATTAGTAATCAAAATTGACACTGACATTGGGTGAACACAAAATGATGGAGTTTTCATTCAAAAAATTACACAAAATTGGTTTCATATCATTTGGAGAAAAAATTCTGTTTCATACGGCAACAAATGTAGATTGACTGCCTTGGCTGAATTCCTAGCCTCGCACGCTCGGCTATGAACTATCAGCCGCGGCAGTCAATCTACTACTTTTCTGCCTAGTAAAACAAATAACTATTGTCGATTTTGATTTATTATATTACAGACATTCCGAAGAGACTGAAACAATTTAAAAAACCAAAAGTAGTTAGAGAACATTCATTTTGTTTGATTATTTGGGATTTCGTTATAGAACGTTCAAAATCAAGACACATATGTAAAATTGGAATAGAAATGCCCCCTGGACGACCAGTGTTATTTGGATAATAGTAAGACAGAAGTTGTCCCTGGAATGTTCTTTTAGTGAATAAGGGACGTAGCTGGAAACAACTCTATTTCCAGTACACAGTTTCGCGGATGATAGTACCCTCCATACCGCCTTCTCTTCCAGGGCTCCAATACCAGCCACGCAAATCAGAAACGAACGAGGGAGAAATGTTGACAACATAAATATGGACTTGGCAACAATTCTCGAATGGGGATCCAATAACTTGGTAGATTTCAATGCAAACAAAACACAAGCATGTCTTTTCTCTAGAAAAGCCGATCTCACTCTGTGCCCAACATAAGCTTGTCAGGAATAACCATACTTTTGGAGACATCCATTTTGATGCTTGGTATTACTATCAGCAATAATCTTTCTTGGGAAAATCACGTGAGATCAATTGCTGAAAGTGCATCCCAAAAACATGGTTTTCTGTTTCGGGCCAGGAGCTATTTCACTTCCAGTCAGCTGCTTATGATCTATAAGGCACAGATCCGACCTGTCCTGGAATACTATTCCCATATTTGGAGTGCAGCACCCAAACATACCCTGAAACTGTTAGATTCTGTCCAAAAAAAGGCAATTCGTCTCGTGAGTGATGCCTCGCTCACAAACTCACTCACTTCTCTGGAACACCGTAGAGAATTTGGCGATCTGGCTCTATTTTATAGATATTTTCATGAACGAAGCTTTTCTGAAATATCAACAATTGTTCCTCCCTTGGCAGTCCCCGCGAAATTGACCCGTCGAGTTGAGGCTTTGCACCCATTCGTGGTGGTCACTTTGGAGACCTGCAAAACGTCTCTCAAGGGAGGTGTTCTCCGAGGCATTTAACCTCCAGTAATTTAAGAAGAACACCGATTCCTACCTTATTTTCCTTGATTCTCACGATGCTCTCTGAACATTATAGGATATCCCTTTTCGTGGGAACCAGAACATAAAAAAAGATCCAAAGGATGTATTTGTTTTGTAAGATGCTAAAACATAGTTAACAAAATATGTGTCGAGGCTTATTTAAGAAACACCTGTTAGGTTAGTTAGTGCCAGGCGCCATTCTGAAAATGAACAAATTAATACTGTGATTCTTTTAAAAAATGCTTATATCGCGTTATGAGAGATGTTTTTTCAACATTTTATCGAGATATCATCGCGTTTGACGTCTTGATGTTTGAAAATTCGAACAACTGGGATTTTTTCAAACTCTAATGCTGGGCTTATAGATTCAATTGAACTAACAATTAGGAATTTACAATTAATAATTTATAATCATCAGCTAGGGTATTTATACATAGCTGATATTAATTGAGAATAGGCGAGTGGACTAATTTTTTTTATTTCTTGAATATAATCATCGCTCAAATATCTTTGAATTTCATATATTTTTAGAATTTTTCGGTCGATTTTAAGGTGCTAAAATTATCGTCACGATTTCGTAAGTAGGGGCAAACCATAGCAAAGTTGCCATAAGTTGAAATACGATTGGGAATTTCAGACAAATTAGTTATTCAATGATTCATGAATTCTCAATCATGTATTGGTAATATTTCTAATTATCAATGAAAAGTCAATTGTCCCAAGAATTCCCCTGATGTGTTGTGGTTTATTGCTTATAATACATTTGTGTAAATAATAATTATATTAATTTACACTAGAGGACATTTGAACTTTTGAACGTGACAACACGGCGCACGAATTGTTGTCGTGGTCCTGTCAGTTCTCAGTATTCAGCGCAATGTTGCCAAGTCTCTAACATTTACATGTTATTTTGTCATCGAGTATAAAAAATATTTGGACATGCTAGTTGCTCGAGGAAGTCGAAAATGAACTATAATATCATGGCTTCATCCTATTATGTTTTATTCGACGACAGGACTCTTAACATCATTTTGACAACTTGATTATAATTGATGACTTGACAACCTTGCTTCATGAGTGAGAATGGAAGATTATTTGACCAATAACGAAACAGCATGAAAACTGACGTCACCATTTATTCGACGTATCGCCAAATGGCGTCCATGACGGTACGTTTGAAATGAGCTCTGAAATTCGACAATTTTGAACAACGCATAGACTAATCATTCACATAAAAAAAGAGCGGGAGAAGTGTCGCAGAAATCAATTTAGGTCCCCAACGACACAGTGAAGTAACTGAATGCCAATAATTCACTATCAGTCCACTCGTCCATTAAATGTAAGATTTCTTTTCATGAATCCATGAAAATTATTCCAATTAATCATCACCAAACTCCACTTGTTGAACAATAGCAAACCCAATCTTCATGTTCTGGTCAACTTTGTAATTCGTAATTCTTAATTCACATGACAGATGTAAAATGTATAAACCCTCATAAATGTTTCCTTGTATTCAACTTTTTGAATGTAAAAACTTCACAAAATTCACGTGATGGAGCTCAGTTCATTGTACCAGTATATCACCTGACGAAGCAACTGTGTTAGCGAAACATGTTGTGTGTTTAAGAATTTCGTGGAAATCTTATCGTTTGTGAAGTTTTTACATTTGCCATGGATTTCCATCAAGTAACGGCCGAGTCAATTCAATAAATCAACTTTTTAAGTCCATAGGTGTTAGTTCAATTCTTAGTTTAGTAGAATCTATAAACTCAGCAGAACTGTTTTCCTATTTGTCTTTTTTTTTGTATTTCTGGAATGTTTTTTTCCAATACTTGTTGTAGAATATACTATTATGGATCACATGTTCGGAATTTGATCGATGAGCATTTTAATTTTTCAGGAACCAGACAGACTGATGGCACAACTAGGAGTCCTATCGAACGTGATCGACCAAGTGTATTACCCTATAGAGAAAATATCGTGGTTAGCCGAACATAAGTTGATATCCGGAATTGACAATGACAAATGGGACACGGCAAGTTCCGTCTGTTGGGTGTTGTCCATTTATTTGACATTGATTAAGTAAGTTTCATTCCTGGATTCAAAAGTTTTACATTTTTTTACAAATAATTACTCCAATTTCAATGAATCTCCAATTCCATAATTTCACTTCGTTCGGAGGATTTAGGTTCGCATTTACGGTATAGTGTGATTTATTAGTTATTTTCTGTGACGAAACGCGAAGTCAGCAGCCTTGATTGATTTGTTCGCTTGCTGCCCTGCTGAATCCTGTAAAGGAGCCCATAGACTGCGTTGTTGGGGCTGTTTTGTTCGCCGAACATGGCCGAACAAGTATGTTCGAACAAAAATGACACAAAACAAAAGTGTGTGTTGTGTGGCTTTGTGGCTAGTGAAATCGACCATTTTGCTTCCACACACTGTGATTTCGCGTCATTTTTGTGCAAACAAACTTGTTCGTCGAACAAAACAGCCTACCAACAACGCAGTGCATGGGCCCCTTTTACGTAAGCATTCATCGTCGCCTAGCAACAACCGTTAAGAAAAGTGTACTTTTTTCACACTTCTCCGTAAAATAATGAAACAGTATTTTGATATTGAAAAATTGTACACTTGAGGCACACAATAGTATATTACATAACAAGAGTTGTAAAACGCATATTACGCACGAAGTGGAGAGAGTTACACACGATGCCGCATAGCGGCGAGTGTGTAACTCCACAAGTGCGTAATTGCTTTACAACTCGAGAATTGTACTATATTTTTTCTACGACTACACTATATTTTTTCCGGATAGTGCAGATATTGTATTAAGGCACAAATAACGAATACTGATATAAAACGTCTCCCGTCACTAAGCCAGCTGCATGAAAAGTTACAAATCACAATTCTTGTGTTTGTTTATTGATACATTGCATACCGAGATATTTTCCTCAATTCGAACTGAAATGGAACCGTTTTACATATCTAAACAGCTTTATTAATAGGTAGCAAAAAACACATTGTATAAAGATAAAAAATTAACATTCATAATGGTTATTTATTTGTAACAGTGAAGCACGAGAGATTCTGTAATCGTTATTGAAAATAATGAAAAAAAGTTCTCCATTTGCGCTCTGAACCACCTCCCTTTGGGTTCGGAGCCAGCGCTTCCAACAACTGAGCTATCACCATTTCTCCGTATTAGTAGATATTTTATAAATATAATTTCGAAGATTGATCTTTTTTTATTATTCCTGTTATTTAAAGAAAAAGAAATTCATCAATTCAATGTTGAGTATGTATGTTATTTGAAAAATTACCTTCAACAGGAGCACTCTGCAGAAAATAATTGATCTATTTTTGATTTTTTACTTCGGAATCCATCCTTCCCTTTTGAGGAAATGGGATATGTTGCTATATTGATATTGTGATTGATATTTAGTGCTGATCGTAATATGGAATATATCGACCAGAGTGATGATGATTTCATCGAATTTGATAATTCTTGAAATTACACTAAAAGGATATTTTCCGAAATTGACACGGTATTATTTCTAATTCTCAAGTCCAGGAATTTTTGATGTGCTATTTCGTATCATTGACGATAGACTTAGCGGGTAGCAACTCATTTTTTACCATTCTAGCTTGTTCCAACATTTCTGGTGGTGTAGAAATAATCTGCTCATCATCGATTTTTAACTGAAATTGAGAATTATCAATAGAAAATAATCATATTCTCAAAAAATATAACCTACCTGATGCTTTCGGTTTCGGTGGATAGCTGGATTGATTGATAAAAAGATAAATACAATTGTTTTTAACACATCGCCTAAGCAACAAAACAAAGTAATCTATCAACATACCTATGAAAACCGTGCGATCGCTCTCTTTACGCACACGTGTGTAAGGAGAAGCTTACTGCCATTGTTTTGTGTACAATATTCATCACTTACAGTAGTAGTCGTAGGAAACATATATTGAGAAAGTGCAGTTTTTTTGACAGTTGTAGGAAAAGTCATTTATTTAGAAGAATCATAATGATTTTAATATTTTACAGGACTTTCAGGTATATTACAGTACTTGAAAAACACAAGGGTTGTGTCTCCAAGGATGGAAGGTATGTGCAAATTCTAAAATTTTTATTATTTAAAATTCATACATAGTGTGTCTCACTTTAAATGCCTCTTCCTCCTATCTCAGTTATTATTCAGATATATAATTTCAATGTTATTTGGACTGGTATTGAAAACCATCAATATGAGGTTTTTCCAACAGTTTAAACAAGAGCCTTTTTATATCGGACGAATTTTTCTCAAGTGATTTTACGAAAAATACTGACAAAAAAATTGCAAGACCGTTGGTCGAGCAAATTTGTGTAACGTCAGTCTTTCGAGGGAAAAGACTGATGGAAGATTTTTGAGTTAGTAAGGAAAATTTATGCGATAAATGGTCTACTAAAATTGGGACTTTGATACGGAATAATTCATACAGAAGGTTTTAGCGTCCAATTCAAGAAAATCTGCCAGATTAATCTCATCTCATTCTGGAATTTTGGTATCATCCTCGTTTTGTTCTTCAATCGGCACTGTATTTGGACAACCGTTTTTCGCCGAGTGCATATACAGGGTGGGCCACCAGTAACGCCTCGGTCTCTAGAAGGCTAACCACTTATATCTTCTTGGAATTCTTCCTCTCTAGGAAGTTGCATGTCAACATAGGCTACCATTTAAAATTATTTCGAAACATACAGGGTGTCCCCAAAAACCATGAAACACTGAAGTTAAACTTTTTTCTATCGAACACCCTATATATTATTTCATTTTGAGATTCTCCCTGATGAGCTGATTTCAACGACCGATCATACTTGGGGTCTAGCAGTTATAATTACTGAAATATAAGGTGTGAAAAATCGAGATTTTACAAGTTCAAGAATTTTTTGTGTCGAAACTATTCATAATTGGTTAAAACGGCTTACATGTCCCTATCTCAACTTTTGATTAACTATCTACTGATATTTAATTGGGACATATACCGGGTGATCAAGATTCTGAATTCTGCACCACCCTGTATTTGTTTCAATTAAATGTCAGTAGATAGTTGATCAAAAGTTGAGATAGGGACATGTGAGCCGTTTTGACCAATCATGAATGGTTTAGACACAAAAAATTCTTGAACTTGGAAAATCTCGATTTCTCACACCCTATATCTCAGTAATTATAACTGCTAGACCCCAAGTATGATGGATTGTTGAAATCAGCTCACCAGGGAGAATCTCAAAATGAAATAATATATAGGGTGTTCGATTGAAAAAAGTTCAACTTCAGTGTTTTGTGATTTTTGGGGACATCCTGTATGTTTCAAAATAATTTCAAATGGTAGCCTATGTTGACATGCAACTTCCTAGGGAGGAAGAATTCCAAGAAGATAAGTGGTTAGCCTTCTAGAGACCAAGGCGTTACTGGTGGCCCACCCTGTATATTACATTTTTTCGTCGACCTCAAACACATATCCACATCATCCTATTCACACGTGGAATCTATCGGATTTCGTGAATAATTGATTTGACAACAGCAAATGACAGTTGTTGTCAACTCACTCTCTGCGCGGACCAGGGTTGCCAGTTCGATTTTTATCACATCAGTAAATACTTTGTTGAAAATTCAGATCTATTTTATGCTATACGAATTGCAAGAAAGGATAATGAAATAAACCGATGACGTCAAAACATTATGTACTTTTAGTAAACAGAGAAGTAACCTATTTCTATCAAAATAGAAACAAACAAAACAAAAATTCCTGTTCCATTTCTATTCCTAATAATACTAAGATATGAGTATATAAAAAAATAGGAACGAATAGTAAAAATAAACAACAAAAATACAAAACAAATAAAAAAATTGAACGTAACAAACAAACTGTTATAAGAGAGGTATATAAAAAATTGTATTCGATCTGGATCCGCTGATACATATCATTATTACCTTATATGTAAATTTATTACTTATTTTGAAAGATTAGTTTAAACAGTGCGTGCCGAAATATCATGCAATTCATAAGTGAATGTGATTAACGTCGTGATTAACTAAAGATTAATAATAATATAGGTAACTATAATAATGAATAAATGTTCAAATTATTATTTCTGTAGGTTATGAAATGTTTCAGTTGGTCAGTAGATCTATATGGAAATAAAGGGATCTACTGAAAATTCAGTAGAACTGGCAACCCTGCAGCGGACATGAAGTGTTTGCGGAAGAAAAGTTAGTTTCTGCTGTACTTGCATTCAGAAATAGTCGGTTTTTCGTTCGTAAATTAAAACGTAGTGATTTCCTACGAAAATGAAGTTTGCAGCATGAGTCATAGGCGAATGCTGCAATCATTCGAGTAGGAAATTAGCATTCCGTGCTAGTTATACACTATAATTTTTCTGCGGCTATAATAGATAACAGCGGTATTTTCGATTTCTTCGTCTTGTAGCCATCTGATTTTCTGTCAAGTAATGCACATTCCATGGGAGATGAGTTTTTTTTTTTGAAATAACACAGTGGATTCATTGTGATATCATATACGGGATGGGTGTCTTTTGTGAGAAAAGCTATATATCGAAATTTTTATAGCGAATCATTAGAGCGAACATTTAATGAGCGAAATACCTTAAGAGCGAACAATCTGAAAGCGAAATTTTTAGAGCGCACCATTTAGAGCGAAAACTTAATGAACGAAATACTTCAAGAGCGAATAATCTAAATAGCGAAACAGTCACAGCGGAGAATAAAGGAGCGAAATTTTAATGACAACAATATTTTTTTGCGAAATAATTCACTTACTTGTGGCGAAAATCAGAAAATTTTGAAACTTTGAGAACTAACGCCATCTGAGGAATCAATGATATGGAAAATCATAATAACTAATCAATTCTATTGATAATATATCAAATTTTCAACAAAAATACAACAAACATATATTTTTCAATCTTTTAATGGATGTTATGAGAAACACCTCGAAGGAACTCCATCTATCGATCAGGTTTGTATTGTTCCAGTAGAAGCCTGAGGCGACATTCATTTCTTCTATTTTTTGTGTTCCTTTTTGAAGTCTCCACGCAGAATATGTTCTATTTTAAGATCGTTGAGGTATTGTTGTTGCTGCAGTGTTTTGATGAGTTTCCAAATAGTTAGATTACAACCTCCTAATATGTAGTTGAATTGATCATGTCAAGATTCCACAGAATTATTGGTTTTGTGTATTCCATTACACACGTTCTCATACTGATTCCACAGCTTAATAGCAAACTTAGCAGGGCGTCTTCTTCCTCCCCTCAAAGACCGACCCAACCAGGTCCCTTCGAAATAATCGAGATATTTCGTTAGGCTGATCATATTGATTTGCATCAATTCCTCATACCCATCAATGACGTCTTTTTTAGGAAGGAAAGCCAATGCTCCCAGACAATTGAGTTGCAAAGTAACATTTGGGTCACTTTGGTATTGGCTAGCCCAATCTGGAGATTTTTGCAAGTTTCTATAGAGAGTCTGCTTGAAATGGAAGTAGCAACCAGAAATCTTTGCTACAGGAAATTCTTGTTTAATGGCGTTCATGCACGCAATTTCAAAATCAATCATTATTTTTTGTGGACTTCTAAGATCTTCACGCAATTCTTTGATCTTGGAGAATAAATGTCTATATGTATCAGTAGTTTTGTTAGGCAAAAGTGCAAATACGGTAGTAAGCCAAGTGTCGTTTTCTGCTACATGTATGGTGTACAATTGCCGGAATAGAGATGGTGAGGCTTTGAAAGTGCCATCACAATACCATTTCTTGTTCCGTGTCATGTGATTCAAATTTTCAGCCATACAGGAAATCAAAATTCGGAAGCGGAATCAACAGTTCTTTCAAAGACATTGGATTATTTGGAACATGGCCCTGCTTCAATCTGTGTTTCCTAATACACCATTTCATATTTTTTACAGTTGGCATTCTTTCCATAACCGCTGTTGAAAGGTCACTACACACCTACGACAAAATAATAATGAAATAAAAACTATAACCTCCTCATATACGACTACAACAAATCCAATGAATAATAGGACATTCTTATTGAGTAGATACAAAAGTTGAAAATAATTGACAAAAGCATATACCTGTGTAATATTATTTTGATTGTTATTGGTTTCGGTTGCCAGTTGCCACTTTTCTTGCGTAGATCTCTACCGGATTCGGTGGGTGACTATGGTCGAATTCTTTCATTATATTTTCAATTTCAGTTTGTAATCTTCCATGGCATAATTTATCCTTATATTTCACACATTTCCAATAAGTTTTCTCACCAATTATTTTCTCCTTTCTATATAGAAAATTATTATATAAAGCTAAAACATTGCCGCGTTCACTTTTTATGTATTGTAACATAGCGACGAACTAATGTTCCGTTTGAAGTTTTGCATGTACCTATTTATACCTATACCACTATTCTCACAAAAAAAACTGCTTCTAAAAAGTGAAACTCGTTTAGGATCAAAAACTCATCAATGTCCATAGCCGAAGAAATATTTTCAGTGGTATATTTTTTATTTCGCTCTTAATGGCAGCGCGCTAAGATTATTCGCCATAAATTTTTTATAACTAAATGTGTTCGATGTAAATGTTCTGCGACCTATAATTCTGCACCCTAAAGAAGTCGCTATACTCAAATTCGCTCTTGATTTTTCGCTCACAACGACGTCCCCCGATGGTAGGTCCTTAAATGCAGTTGTCTTCAATTATGTTTGTCATCATTGGTCCTAGTATCACGAAATTTGATACCTATGGATGATTCGATCCCACAAATCGTTTTGTGGTACGGAAAACATAATTTGATATTCAGGAAGGTGCGAAAATCGTAACTGATGATATAAAAATGTCCCAAGTTTTTTTGTTTCAAGATTTATCTCATGTATACTACCTGAAAATGACTCTTCAAAACTTTTACTTGAAAAAGGTATTCCTGTTAGAATGCCGTAAAACGAACCGATTTCGAGAAAAGTGACATTTTGTTTTGCATTTTGCTTATGATGAAGAAAAAATTTTGACTCGATTATTGAAATTTCATTCGTCCAGTTAGTTTTGTTTTATTGGAGTTAATCATGATGTTGATTTGTTCGGAAAATATCCGCAATGGAAATTGATTAAATTTTACAAACTTATTAACTAGGTGATTATTTTTTAACATTGGTTTTACGGCATTGATTTATCAGAAACAAATATTGTCTTAAACAGTACCGTACATTTTTATTGGTTTGACATTTTGTACCTCTGAAAATATATAGTTTCCACTACCAACTCAACTTATCACACTATATTTTTGGGATAAAGGGAACATTAAAAGTGAAACACGCTGTATGTACAGAAGATTCAAGAACCCTAGCAGAAATTTCACGTGGTGATTCCTTAAACAAATATATATTTTTAAATGGTACTAGATCTGTTGTCAAAATAATATTCACATTTTTGAAGCTGAGATTTTTTTTCGATTCTTTTTATCAATGGTAGCTCTGGAAGATTTATTTGTATGGAATGGAGGGGAGGGGGGAGTGTGATACCTCATTTGTACCGTCTTTTGTACGCTACCAAAGATAAAACAAATTGTTGATTTCAGTATCCCATTGGAACGAATCTTGAGGTTGCAAAAATATGAGATGCTGACTTTATTGAGAATGTCTATCGATTTCGTACATGCTGTCAACACCCTGCCACCAGGATTTCTATGGTCGTCCAAACTGAAAACATGGCAGGTCGGATTTGTAGGAACGTTATCTTCCCTTCTAGGTTTATATCAGATTTTTTATAAAAGGACGTTGAAATGACCAAGGTAAAACGAGAAATTTTAAGTCGGGGGATTCTAGACTGCATATTATTTGGTTGCCGGAAATATGATCGAAATCATCAGATCGAACTACATTTGATCGAAAATCAAACGATCGAAAAAAATCAAACGATCGAAAAAAATCAAATGATCGAAGATCAATTTATCAATATCAATATTATTTCCCTAATTGGTTCTCACATTGTTCTCTGAACATTACAGGTAGCCCCTTTTCGTGGGAATCAGAACATAAAAAAAATATCAATATCAATAACTGAATTTTGATCGAATCATTTGCATATAATATTCAAACTACTTACCGATTTGTCTCAAACCATTTGTATAGGTTCTAGAAATTCATTGATATTAAGGATTTTATTGTGAGAAGCCGTGAGGAGTAAAACCTCAAACATAACTATAGAGTGATCAAAATAATATGTTAGAATTTATGTCACATATGTCACATTCGGTTACAGAGACAAGACATCGTTCAGACAAGATTGCGGTTTCGAAAAATGCCGTTAATAAATAGTTGATGTGGAAAGAAAAAATTGATATGAGATGGATATTTTTATGTGAGAGAATACCAACGCTCTGACACGACATAACTGCAAACAGCGTGCCTCTACATTTGGCCCACTGGTTGCCTATAATAGCACAGATCAGTGTGACCGATCTCTGTTCAGGTATTGCCTGTAATTACGGAAAGAAGGTTCATTTAGGCCAGAGATTAGTCATCCATTTAGGCCGAGTCAGGTTAGGTTGTTTAGAAGCAGTAGCCTCTGTTGTTCGTTCAAGTAATTTCCTTAAAAATATACTTTCTTGGAAGAAGGTTCATTGAGACCGATTTAGGTTAGATTGTTTGGGAAAAGTAGTCTCTTATGGTAATGCTTATGCTTATTTTCCTCAACCTGCCGGCAAACAGTGTAACGGCTGTAAACGAAGTTACACTGTTTACCTGTAATACGTGAAATGACTAGGCATTTCAGGAAATGACGGATTTCTTCAAATATGTTCCTTTTATGTTATAAGTTCGATCAAAATGTAATTCGATCTATTGATATTTCGTTCAATTGATTTTCGATCATTCTATTTTTCGATCAAATGATTTTCGATCAAATGATTTTCTATCAAATGATTTTCGATCATATGATTTTCGATCAGATGATTTTCGATCAAATGATTTTCGATCAAATGATTTTCGATCAAATGATTCTCGATCAAATGATTTCGATCAAATGATTTCGATCAAATAGTTTTTTATCATATCTTTCCAGCAACCATGTTATTTTTACTCATAGTCTGCTAAATATGGAGAAAAAATCTAGTGAGCTGGAGTATCTGGTCTGCCCAAACAAGGGAAATCACCTACAGGGTTCTGTGGCCGATACAGTAGTACCATACGGTCAAATCGAGGAAACACTCATTTCAATTGTTTTCCTGTCAAACCTACATAACCTTGAAAATCGTAAATGAGTTGAGCGGTGCTCTCGGCAGTCTCGGCCGGCGGCGTTTGTTCAGTGAGTTTGAGTTCAGTCACGGTCACTCAGTCACTCAAAAATTTAAAAAATCATTCCTTCCCGAAATGGTTGCTACAGACACTACAATAGTTACCAATTTTGTAACTTTCAACACCTGAGTAAATGAGAGGTAGAATCAGAAGTATCGATTATTAGCATTTGATCAGGGCTCTGATTTTCTTACTTGTAATGATCCTGTAACACTCAATATCGAATGTACCCGCTTATGACATAAAAACACCAAAGAAATATCACTTGGAAATCCATGAATGGAGATGGATTCACAATATCTGGTACGCACAATAAGAGGAGACAGAGTTTGTTACACATTGATAATCAGAATGAACTACTATAATACTGGGAGCACAACACAAAACTATATCTATAAACGAAAGGAATATCAGAACAATGAGAATTGAAAAAGAATGATATTTTAGAAAAAAATACAAAACAAGTCACGATGGCATGGCAGCTTTAGACACTGACAACCAGTGACAACTTACATAACCACAAATTTCAAAATTTGTCTAGAAAAAAGTGACGATCATTTCGTACGATACGGTAACTTCCTCTAGTGGTCCTACACTCAACTGAGCTATAGGGAAGACCAGTAGTTCCAGCTCACTAGATTTTGTCTCCATATTTAGCAGACAATGTTTTTACTATTGACAGTGGTTGTCAATGATAAGGTAGGTATGTTATCTACCCGATAGGCAAGAACACAAATGCGTGAATGAGAGCTAACATTATTCATTGTCCACCACATCACGCCACTGAAACGTGAGTTCAGAGTATACTTGTTATTTTCGTGACACTTGGGCCTCTTCTTGCAATATGTTTCTTTTCCGTTAATGTAAGAATTGATCATAGTAGTCCAACATTGAGAGTAAAAAAACGTAAGTCTGCTCAAGTCTTCACTTAACTTGAGTTTTTCTCAATTTGTTCAAATATTCTACATTGTTTTTTCCGAGTATTTTCAATAAAACAAGCCACAGCTTTTAGGGTTACCCGGCAAAACTTCGGGATTTTTGACTTTGACATTTACCTCATGTTTCAGTAGCGCCAACTGGTGAGACTGAAAGTGTTAGCCCTCGTGCAATTCAAATATGCATAGAGGGTGGTCATTTGAAAACGAAACAGAGGCTCTGTAGGTCGCCAGAACCGTATTATAAAGACTATTCCACTCTTGATCTCGAGAACCAATCAGAATCGACCATTTTCGCGGTTTCTTCTTTATTCTAGCGATATTTTTTGTTTATTAAATTTTGTCGGACTTGCTCTACCAATACAGAAGCCGAATTGACCCACACGTGACCAACAAACCTCGTTTATCAGCGATATTTTGACATCGTGTCTGGTCAAGATTGCTTTGGATTCAAATCTGAGACAATAACCTAAGTTCCTACTTTATTTTATTTACTTATAATTCGCGTTAGTGAGATATTTTGTACGAAAGGCGAGACAATTTTATTCTGGCTGAACGTTTCATGTGTAATTTGAAAAGTTTGCATATTTGTTGATGGTCTGACATAACAAAACTTGAAAACAAATTCCTTTTTAAAGTAATCTTCTTCAATCCCTCAAGTCATTGTTACTGACTAATAAAATTATCAGTTGATGTAGCACAACTGATAGGGTTGTTGCGCGAGGACGAAGGTCGATGGTTCGAGCCCTCGGCGACGATATCTTTTTATTTAATTATTCCATGTCACATAAATTCAATTTATTTTGTTTGAATTGGAAAGCAATTGTATACACTCTTTTGAGAGCAACCATCTTCAAGATAATAAAAAAATACTGTTTATCAAAATTGTACATTCCACTTTGTGAATAACTATAAGTCGGTAGTTAATTTCTAAAAAAGTAAATTCTGTATTTCATTACTATCATAATGTTCTTCTTCGCAGTTCGAGTTGGGATATTCTTAAATTATGTTTCCTATTTCTTATATATATTGTCTCATTCAATCATGAAATAGTCATATGTAATACCACAAGTGTTAATATTTTGACGGAAATATTCGATGATTGTTACGACAGCTTGTTGCCTAGTAATTTCGTGAATGACATTGTTATCAAAACTACGAGCCGTAGGCGAGTAGTTTTGGATCAATGCCATGAGCGAAATTAGAGCAGCAAGCTGGAGTATGTCAATCGACGAATATTTCCAGGAAAAATAGTATCACGAGTTGTATTCGTATGACTATTTCATGATTGAATGAGACAATTATATATAAGAAATAGGAAACATAGTTTAAGTATATTCGAACTCAAACTGCTATTTTTCCTGGAAATATTCGTCGAATGACATACTCCAGCTTGCTGTTCTAATTTCACTCATGACATTGATCCAATCTCATTCACGAAATTACTAGGCAACAAGCTGTCGTAACAATCACCGAATATTTCTGGCAAAATATTATCACTTGTGGTATTATATATTACAATTCAATTGATGTATAAAAAATCCCACAAACCGCGTGATTTTTTCATTATGACGAAAAAAGTTTGCCCCTACCTGTCCAGCGAAAATAACGGAAATTTTTCAAAGCATGACAACCAGCCATAAACAAATGTTGAATTAAACTGTCTTACCGAATTACACTCTAGCTTTTGTTTTAGTCGAAGTAAACTTGGCATTTATAATTCGAATTTTGTTGCCATCAGGTAATTCAACTCATACGGACTCGTAATTTTTTCAGAGGCAGTTTTTTTTCGTCAAATTCCCAGGCAACAAAATTCTTATTGGTACATGTCAAGTTTACTTCGACAAAAAAAAGCTCTCGTTATAAGTGAAAAACTGGAACACGTCAACTACATTTTCGAGGAGGACATCATTCTAAAATATTTGAAGCGCTGCGGCATTGCCGCTTTCATCGAAAAGTAGCAACAACGTTGTTATTTAAAATGGAATACCCTGTATTTTATTCAAAGGAAGGAAGGAATGCTCGAAGTCATCTCCACAAATTTTAATGGTGTTGTTACACAATCATAAGGGACATGTTTCGATCTTATGAAAGACCATCTTCAGCCTAATTGAAATTTCTACATAATTTGTTCTTTTGACTCACTTGGAGTTGAAAAAAATATGATGCTACTAGTTGTGGAATTGTGGTCAATGCATATAGTCGAAAAATCGAGTTTATTAATGAGAAAACGGGTTCTCAATAAATGAAATGAAATGATTCTTCCTGAAAAGCTGATTTCATCAATGTATCACACTTGGGGTCTAGCGGGAATTATATATAATAATAATATATAGATATATAATAGGGTCTTCAAAATCGAGATTTTTCTACTTTAGTATTTTTTTGTGTCGAAACTATTTATTATCGGTCAGAACGGCTTTTATGTCCCTATCTCTTTTTTAACCATCTACCGACATTTAATGTGGTGATCAGAATTCTGAATTTCGAACAACCCTGTTTTTGTTCCAATTGAATGTCAGTAGATAGTAAATGAGAAGTTAAGATAAGGACAAG